ATCCACCATTTTTTGATATGATGCTTCCAAGATAGCAAAAAGACTCAACATCCCCAAGACAGCAGATGTTTATAATAAAAGGATCTTGGACGCTAGCATTAATGCGCATTTAAAGTCCCGCTCTGTTTGCCGTAGTTATCAAACGATTTAGGTTGCGAGACATATCATATAATTGTGTGCCATCAGACATAAGTCATTGGCGTAATCGAGATCACACAAGCTATCTTGAAGACCCCAAGTTATTCCGCCACCTTGACCCAATGCCTCTACCAAGACTACGTCCAGGACGATGTTGAACAGCAACGGCGACATAACGCAACCCTGTTAAACGTCGGTTTTTATGAGTATTTTGAGTATATATCTCGTGCAGTATCTAGCAACTTGTATCCTCGTATAGGGCTTTGATGAGCCTGAAGATCTTTTGCGCCACACCCTTATGTTCAAGCGCGTTCCAAAAGACGGTGTGACATAGTGTATCAAAGGCCTTTTCGAAGTCTATAAATAATAAATATAGATTTTATCTTCATTCTACAGACTGTTTGAAGATTACTCTTAGGCTGTTTATGTGATCAATCTTGTAACGATGCTATTAATGTTGTTGAAAGTCTGTTGGTGATGACATGCGCTATTAGTTTATTAATCATGTACAACAGAGTAATGCCACGCCAATGAGTTCTTTCTGAGATCGCCCTTTTTTGGAAGCTTTATGATATTACTCTCTTTGACTTCAGATGAAAGGTTCTCTGACTGCCAAAAACGTTCTATTAACGGGTGGATGATCTGTGCGCTTGTATGTTGGTCAGTTTTTAGTAGTTCCGGTGCTAAACCGTCAGGTCCTGATGCTTTGCTGTTCTTTAGTGTTTTTATTGCACTTATGATCTCTGCAATATTGGGGCAGAAGATGGAAATGTTGCTATCTTCAGAATGACTATCGCAGTCGCAGTACAATTGAGCCTCGGAACGTTTATTTGTTAACATATTACTGTAAAATTTGGACAACACATTAAGTTTAAGTATTTATATAATTAAGAGTACATAACTAAGCGATTAGGATATTAAACTATAAAGTAAATTTTATTTGTCCAAAAGTTTATATGCATGAATAAATTTTACTTAATATCTAGATTAGTATAAGCGATATATATTGAAGTAATTGTACATACAAAATGAATTTATTAAAACGATATATGCTGAAATAATTGTACATACAAAATGAATTTATTAAAACGATATATGTTGAAATAATTGTACATACAAAATGAATTTATTAATCACACATAAAAAAAGAATTGGTTTTATATTTATAGGTATAAGCTAGGTATAAGTTATTTTTAGAATATTCTCTTAACAAAAATATTACAATGCAATAATTTCGTCTGCATAAAAATCTATTTATATATTACAAACAAACAAACAGCGAACATCCACACGCACAGCCAGCAGTGAACATCCACATGCACAGCCAGCACAGTAGAGCCAGCAGCGAACATCCACACGCACAGCCAGCACAAGTCAAGCCCAGCTCACGGCAGAGCCGTTACCTCGCGAAGAAATGCATTATTTGTTTACGCACGCGGAATTACACTTGTGCGGTTGTGCGTGCAAATAATAATGTGAGAAATATTGCATATAAATAGACGAGATTTTGTATGCAAAATCACTTAGCGCCAGCATACCAAAACGAGTAGACCTCTACTCCACCGCTAAGTCCTTTTAAAAGCCTATAGTGTTTTGTTGCTAAGGCTAAATAAATTCGTAGAAATCTTGAGTAGAGTAGCAATTTGATATAACGCCTCTGATGTTCTGACATCGTTGGCTAGAACTTGTTAGGTAGAAATTTGATATAACGCCTTTGATGTTCTGACATCGTTGGCTAGAACTTGTTAAGTAGAAATTTGATATAACGCCTTTGATGTTCTGACATCGTTGGCTAGAGCTTGTTAAGTAGAAATTTTATATAACGACTCTGATGTTCTGATATCGTTGGCTAGAGTTAGTTGAATAGAAATTTTATATAACTCCTCTGATGTTCTGACATCGTTGGCTAAGGAAAACTGTTGAGTAGAAATTTGTATAACTCCTGTAGCATAGTATAGAATGATTAGCCTAAGTCATTTTGGAAGCTCTCCTAATAAATTTTCAATAAAATTTTAAAATAAAAATCACACGGTCTTTAACTTTCTCTCTCCTTGGTTTACCAGCTTTCGAACTAGTCAATAAAACAAATTTATTGCAACGACCCGGGCCGCGACTGAGTGATACCTCAGCAAAATTAAAAACGATGAATCCGTGTCGTTACAAAACAAAGTAAAAAATGAAGGACAAATAATGTAATAATTTTGTTATTCTTTATTTTGAAATAACATCAATTTTTATAAAAACAATTCGTAATAATCAATAATGTTTGTTTAATTTCATCTTAATGCGAGTTGGTGAACAATATTTTTAGTCAATTCTTGAGTATAAATGAATAATATTGACAGTTTCCCAACGCAAGAACACGCCACATATAATTGGCCATGTGAAAAGACCTGATTTTCTAGATCTATCCCACAAATCTACATTGCTTGACCTTGTGACTTATTAATAGTCATGGTAAATGCCAAGCGAATTGGAAATTGCAAACGTCTGAATGGAATGGGTGAGTCTAAAGAGATCATTGGGATTCGTGGCAGGAGAACAGCTTCACCTTCAAATTTGTCATTCAAAATTGTAGCTTCAAGTACATTGCCCATAATTTTTTCTATGACTAATCTCGTGCCGTTGCATAGCTTAGGTGCATTTAAATTCCGCAGCATAATTATAGGTGGGCCAATTTTTAATCTTAAGTTATGTGGTGGCATTCCTGGTAAATCCAGCGAATTCAAAAATTCAACAAGATAGTTGAACGATTCATTTTAGAGACTTTAAACTTTTTAAACAAATCAAAGTAAGCATGAATAAATTTTAAATGTCTAATATAAATGTATATGGATACCAAAAAACTGTATAATAAATAAAAAAAACATTATCCAGTGGACCAAATTGTGAATCTGAACTACCCTTGAGTCCACTAGAACACACACAAAAGATTTCATCAAAATCGGTTCAGCCGTTTAGGAGGAGTTCACTGTCAACACACGTACAGAATAATTATAAATATAAAGATAATGCTGTATAGAATTTCTTGTAAAAACATTGAATGTCTAGTGGATTAAATGTCTGAATAAATATGCTCCAAATGCAAAGGCACACATTAAACATACCCTAAATAAAAGGTTTTCATGGCATTTTGAGAAAGATGTTTTTGACATATTTACAAAAAAAGGCAAATAAATGTTTGGTGGATGTATTTCCTTGAAAATTTTTTACTGGAAAAGACCCGTTATCTCTACATTATGAATGCCATGGTGATTCAGTTTCTATTTAAAAACGTCATTATGTTTTTAATATTGAAAAACTAAATGCATTATAAACGAAATGAACAAAAAAATAAAAAGAAACCACTGATTCAACCAAGGCAAATCTTATACGGAGATTGGAGAAATAATGAATAGAAGCCGCTATACTATTTGGAGCATTGTGCGGCGTTTCAAGGGGACAATATCGTTGCAAAGTGCGAAGCACACAGGCCGACCCAAAACCATAAGCGACCGTAAACGCAACATAATAATAAGAAATGTGAAGGTCAAGCCAAAAATATCTTCAACCTAAATTGCAGCTGAGGTTAAGCGAGACAATGCAAGAAGCTAGTTACAACTATCGCGTCGCTTGACGAAAACCGTTGTTCAATAACCCGTTTGTTATGGAATCTAAATCGATACTTAAATCGATTCAGTGTTGGTTACGATTAGGAATCCGGCACTATTCACCTATTGTGAATACTAAATTTATATATATATACTGGTACATACTTATAATGATATATACTTGGTATATACTTATAAACTTATTGTTAAGTTTTATATTAAATTTAGTATAAAAATCAATTATTAATAATCATAATTATTATTATAAATATCATATTAATTTTGTATATAAATATATTAATTATCATAATTATTGTATGTGTAAATAAGTACTTTAATTTAGTTTCTTATTCTGTCTTTGTTGTTGTTGTTATTTATGTTATCACATATTTTTAGCAATGTTGCTGGCTCTCACAACTGAATATTCGCACGCTATCAGCGTGCCAGACGTAACATGATCATCTTCACACGCCACTGTGCGAGTTTGATAAGCATTATGTTCATTTTCTTTTATCGTGTATTCGTTGTGAGTTGCAGCAATAGGCAAGCCGCTGCGACAGTTCTGTTGCTCCCACAGGTGCAATATGAGCTGGCGCATGGCATAAATGATAGCACATTTAAGTCATCAAATTTATGAAGCAAGTTGGTATATGGCAAAATACATATACCAGCTTGCTGACTGCATTAAATAGTATAAGTTTAGGTAATGCACATATTTCCCACGTATGCCCTTGGCCTTGAATGTTCAAAGTCCATCGGATAACAAATCGTGGGAACTAGGTGCATTTCCTCTTTTATCATAAGCTTAGCATTAATAATTTTGTATTAAAGCAGAACATTTCTCAATAAACATTCAATTCAATTTAAACACCTGAATTCAAACAAGCGTTTTCTTTTGGTTTAAGTGCCTAAAAGAACCTTGATCAAAGTCGGTTTATGTGCCGAATTTGAAAAATAATAACACCAATTAAATAAATAAATAATTAATTAAATAAACACATGTATATATGAAAATATATATATATCTGTTTATATAAAATACGAAACTAGTTCATGTGCCGGATTGCGTAAGTGAATGCTAAGCTGGTTAATGTGCCGGATTAGCTAAATCCGTATCAGACTAGATACGGACGAAAACATAAGGTGTAAACGCTAAGCTGGTTTAAGTGCCGGATTGGCTAAAAGCTGTATCAAACTAGGTACAGTACATGAAATTTTGGTGACCCCGACATGATCTATCACGCATCAGTATTGTCATTTGTGGACATACACGTGATATATCACGCATCATCATTGTCATTTGTGGACATATTCGTGAAACATAACGCATCATCATTGTCATTTGTGGACATATTCGTGAGATATCACGCATCATCATTGTCATTTGTGGACATATTCGTGATTTATCACATATCATAGTTGTCATTTGGTGACATACACGTATCAACGTTTTCAACAATCAATTTCTGGTGACCATGGAGGACCTTTTCAATCAACAGGCTGAAACAGGTACTGAAATCCTGGACATCGTAAAAACTTCAAGAAGGATGGTAAGGCAAGGAAAACCAAAGCCTACTATGAAAAACGACTGAGGCGTTTAAGTTCAGCATGGGAATCCTTCGATGAAGTCGATAATAAAATTCAGAGTCATGGTTCTATTCCAGTCGAACACGACTACATAAAAAAGGAATATTATCAAGAGATCCTGAAAATCTACAAACAGTACAGTCGACAATTTGAAACGGCCATTAAACAATTCGGTCAAGAAGAAATAGTCGAGCTTGTGACTGTTCCATCAACATCAAAATTTAATGTTGGGCACACAGATGCTAGAACATCTGATTCACAGATCCAAGGGCTCATCAACAAACAACGTGCAATATCATGTTCGTTATTGCGGCTCATCAATGACGTCAAGAGCATGAACGAGCAACAGCCTCTGTCATATTATCAGGAAAATATTGACAGAATCAACAAATTATGGCAAGAAATTGAAGCCATCAATTTTAAAATCTGGGAAGTTCATTCTAATGCAATAGAAGTTGGATATGATATCCAGAAATATATTGAACTAGAAGAATAAGTTCAAAATGTGTTGGTGTCAATAACGTCGAATGTGACATCAAATCAACAGCAACCGCCTCTCATTGCAGAAAAGGTGCAAGTAAGGTTACCTAACATAACAATTCCGAAGTTTGACGGAACATATACTAAGTGGATGGAGTTCGACAACTTGTTCACAGAAATGATCCTCACTCAATTACCAGATGCACAGAAGATGTGGTATTTAAAAAATCATTTAACTGGCGATGCAGCAGGGTTAGTAGCACATCTCGCTCTAACAAATCAAAACTATGCAACAGCATGGCAGATATTGAAGGAACGTTATGACAATAAACGAATCATTGTTTCTTCCATCATCCAGAAAATCATAAATCAAGCGACTGTGAGAGCTCCAGCAGCGAATGACATTCGGGTCATACATGACTGTACACTGGATAGTTTATTAGCATTGAACAATTTGGGCATTGACACCAGTTCCTGGAGTCCAATATTGTTATACGTATTAACTTAAAAATTGGATTAACAAACTAGACTACTGTATGAACAGTCTCTAGCGCATTCGCGAGAATTACAATCAATAGATGAGTTTCTGTTATTTTTGGAAAAGCGGTTCAAATCATTGGAAACTGTTAATTCAAATCTACCAGCAGCCAAAGTAGTGACAGCAACAGTAACTACAAACAATATGCTAGCTTGCAGGATGTGTCACCTTAATGGCCATCCAATCTACCAGTGTAACAAGTTCTTGGCATTATCAGTTCCTGATCGTGTTTCCGCAGTACAACGGTTGAAATTGTATTTCAATTGTCTACGTAGCAGACATAGAACCAGCGATTGCAGAAGCAGACATTGCGCCACATGCAATAAAGCACACAACACATTACTCCAAAGAGGCCAACAATTGGTGCACGTGATTTCACCAACATAAACGCGGCTGTATCCAAGAAGACCACTTCCTCCAATCAAGAAGAAACTACTGTTGCATTAACTACAGCACTGTCAACAAAAGCATATGTGTTGCTTGGCAATTGAATGCAGGGCTATCCTAGATTCAGGCTCTCAAGTCAACTTAATAACAGAAAAGCTGGCCAAAAAATTACAATTAAAGCTAAATCCAAACCCAATATGGATTGAAGGAATTGGCTCAGCTAAGAGAGGGGCAAACTATCAGGTCACTGCCAACATTTCATCACGTACTACTAATTTCAATATAAAGTTAAAAGCATTTGTGGTGCCAAAAATCATTTCGCCTCAACCTAACAGATCGTTCGACATATCTCAGTAGCCAATTCCAAAACACATCAAACTCGCTGATTCCGAGTTTAATGTAAACGGTGATGTCGACTTATTGACAGGTGCCGAGCATTTCTATTCACTATTATCAGTAGGTCAAATTCGTATGACAAACAGCTTACCAGTAGTACAGAAAACCGTCTTTGGTTGGGTATTAGGTGGATGTAATCAGAGTACAATCACATATACAGTAGCCACCAAAAATGAGCAAAAATCACATGAAGTTGAGAAAAAACGTGAAGCAACATCTATTGGAAACACTCGACAAAATAAGGAATGGTCAGTAGGGCGATGTATGAATACCCATCCAAGACTTAACGGTAAAATTCCAGTGGCAGATGGTAAAACTAAGAAAGATAGTTTGAAGCGGCCAATACATCGATTGGCACCAGTATCAGCAGATTTACATTCGTCTACCACTACACAACAACAGCAAGCTAAAGAAACGCCACTAAAACGGCTAAAACTCTATGGTCTAGCGTTACTCATTATGTTATGGCTACCGTTAATATCAGCTTCTGGGATCAGCATCACATCAATCAATAAAAAACCTGGGATTCATTTTGAACACATGAGTTCAATCATGAGATCACCAGCAGTATGTAACAAAGAGCATCCACAAGTAGCATTGCAAGACACCGGATTAATGGAATTGCCTCCAGAATGTGTGATTAAACATACCACAACATCATTATATAGTCATTATACGTTGACTACTCGTTTAAAATACTCTCATACGAGTTTCCATTCAAGTTCAATGAATACAACAGCATATCAACAACAATATCAGCCACTAAATTGGCAGAATATCAGTGTTCCCATGCATAATGATGACATCAATAAACTGAAAGCAGCATTAAAGACAGTTAAACAACAAGAAGAATTGCCTGTGAATGAAAAAGCATATCATCAACATCATTTTGTCATCGAGTACTTTGCACTTGGAGTAAGATAAGAAAGATAAGAAAGAACAGGGTATTAGCTCCCATTTGAGCAGAGCACCGCGACCATGATTGATCTTTTGTGCTACAACAGACCTTAACTGAACAAAAGACATTCCGCCTTTCGAATGAAAGCCAGAATGTCGGTTGTTG